CGGCTCGCCCCGCCAGCAGACGAGGGAGACGCTGAACAGAGCGGCGGAGCACCCGGCCGGACCCGCGCTGCTTCCAGCTGATCTGGAAGCGGCCGCGGGTCCGGCCCCGGGTGCTCCGCCACTTTGTTCAGCGTCTCCCTGGTCTGCAGACCAGGGAGACGGAGAGCAGCTTTTCTCGCCCGGGAGGAGGCGGGCGGCAGGACTAGGCATCCTGCTGCTCTAGTTCTCCGGGGCGAGAAATCCCCGTTTGTAACTGCGGATCCGACGTAAGTCAGATCTGCATAACTGGGGGACTGCCTGTACTCTGGGGTGGTTGAAAGGCTAGCAATGCCTCCTACACTTGCCTGTAAAAACCAAATACGGGGTTGATGAAAAGTGGGGTTGTAGAAAGGAATAAGTTCTATAATGGAAATGAGCAATTTAGTGGACAGTTTAGCACATGTAACTGCCATCCTCAAGGATGGCAGCCTTAGTCTTATTCTTCCTATGGTTTTCAGAGGAATCACATAGATGAGGTTTCTAACCCCAAGTGAATTGCAAGTGCTGGTGATACCCCGACATTGAAAACAGAAATGAAGGCTCTTTGATATTATCTGCAATACTGTACAAGACACTATTAAGATTTTGGTATGTTGCCTACCAAAGATACTTCCAACATAAAAATCCCAATGATAAATTTAATATGGCCTCAAATTCATTAAAATGCAAATAGCTCATTCTAATTTATGACAAATCTTAGAGTATCTAGCATTCTAAAATTGCATCGCTTTATCGATTCCTAAGGCATCTCAGGTTAAAATTTCCTTCTATAATTGTAATGATTATGAAATTCAATAAAAACCCTAAGAAAATACCAGATGAATGGCAATGGATTTATATATGGTTCTAGAACATTATTTTTAAGTATCCTTTGAACCACAGTTGTCTTAAAAAAAAAAACACCCACACACACACACCCTCACAGCCACAATTAAAGAGGGAAATATAAACTCCATATTTAAAACGTATAATTTAAAACAAAACTGTAAACATTGGAAGTTCTTTAAAGTTCTGTTAGTCCCCTTCTCTTCAGTAAATAGCTACAGGAATAGCCTCTTTCTGTAAGTAAATTGTTTAAAAGAACACAACTATTTTGTGTGTCTTTTATTAAGTCTGTGCTGTGTTGATGATGGTGGATCCAAGCAGTATTTCTCCTTTACACCAGGTTGAACTCCCTCAGGTTTAGTTGTAGGATAGTGTCTTTGACAGCAGCAAAGACAAAGCGGATATTCTCTGTGTCTGTGGCACAAGTGAAGTGGGAATAGATTACTTTTTCATCATCTGGATTCTGGTCCTGGTACAGTTTCAAAATGAATTCTCTGGCAGCTTTCACATCTTGTTTAGGTCCTATTTAAAGACATAATGGATAATGTTTTAATGGATCTAGAACATTATGGAATTCAAACAAAATAGCCCATTCATATCAGTATCTAGTGACATATAATGTACTGTGGTGGCTATTTAACATGAGAATTACCAGGAAATATTTTTATAACATCATTGCATAATGCTATACACATAATAGTGCTAAACTTGTTTTAATACATATGCCAGGTCTACACTGCTGGGCTAGAGTGATCTTCTGGCATTCGATTTTAGTGGACCTAAAGGACTGGCTAAATTGAACACTGAGGGCACCTCCTTTGTTCCTCATGAATTGAGGACTTACAGGAGTGTTTGCTTCCATCGACTTCCCACTAAAGACAGGGCCAAGTTCAGCTTAAGGTATGTCAATTCCAGCTAAAAAAGAACATAGCTGGAGCTGACATACCTTAAGCTGAGCTTCCAGGTCCAATATAGATCTGGCTGTAGAAATGGCACTGTTATGGTTAAATGTTCTGATAAACTTTTGTGGTAAAACTTTACCATTAGTACAAATAGCTCAGAAGTATTCTACAAATTACTTTTGTATAATAGCAGCCTTAAAATACATACTGAAAGCGTCAACAATGTTTAAGTATAAATAATGCAAAACTATAAATTAAAAGGTAATCTCCATTAATTTAATATCCCCTAGAACTGGAAGGTCATTGAGTATAGTCTCCTGCCTTCACAGCAGGACCAAGTACTATCCCTGAACAATTTTTGCCCCAAATCCCTTAATGGCCTCTACAAGGCTTGAACTCCCAACCCTGGGTTTAGCAGGCCAATGCTCAAACCACTGAGCTAGCTATCCCTCCCCCTACACAATTGTCAGACCAACACACCATATATTACTTTTTCATTTCTTACATAGTTGGTATAGCTCTGCATACTATAACAGGATTTTATTTTGTCAAAAGGGAGGTAGACTTTTTTCTGTAAATATGTTAATCAATATGATGTAATTAGCAAGCTAATGCATTTTACCATGACAGTTGTAACTAAAATGTTGATTGATTAAAATCATGGTCTTAATCCATTATCAGCATAGGGCTGTCATTCATTTGGAAGTATTGAATAGATACTGAATGGCAGTGTACAAATGAACACACTTTAAAGGTAACAGCAAGGTTGTGTAAACTACACCAGATTTTGTTTTATCCAGTTATTTGTGAAATGCCTAGCCACTAAGAGGATGCCTATAAAGTAAATATATCACAATATATTTGTCAAACAAACACCTAGAAAATATACTAGAAGCTTTTAGACTATATAGTTCCAGGAAGGGAAGCAAAAGGCATGCATTTCCCCCCTATGTTTCCCAATATTATAGGTAAAACTGATCATCTTCCTTTGTATCAAAATGCATGCTTTTTCCAATGTTGCATTCACAAGCTGTAATACTTAAAACCATACTCCAGTCTCATTCTGTCTCAATAAATATTCATGTTGATATTAGAATACAGAAATGTATATTATCAGGTCAAGATACATGAAAGTGGGTCTCCTGTGTTTGGTATATTTAGTCCAACACTATGGGTATGTCTATACAGCAAAGTTATTTCAGAACAACAGCTATGCAAGTTATTTCAAATAACTTGAATAATTTCAAAATAATGGATGGCTTAGTCATCTGACTTCTGTAAACCTCATTCTACGAAGAATAACACCTAATCTGAAAGCATGTGTAGATGCTCCACTTTTGCTATTTCAAAATAGAATGGCCCTCGTGAGGAGCTAAGGTTTTCCTTTTAGGCCTCTAAATCAAGATAGCATGTCTGCGCTGGAGGAAGGCCTCAAAATTAGTCCGAGGCAGGCTTCCCTAATGTATACATACTGTTTCGAAATAAGCTATTTTGGAATAATTATTCTGGAATAGAATATTCAGGGGGTAGCCAAGTTTGTTGTTGTTTTTTTTAAGTTTATCCTGTACGGACTAACGGTCTGGTAGCTACATGTTTGTCTATTTTAAAGTGCTAGTAGCATGAGCTTTTGTGGGCACAACCCACTTCTTCAAATGACTGGAGGTTTGAGTTTAGGATGTGCAGACATTTAGCATTTATTTTGGGTCTGCACATCCTAAACTCAAACCTCCAGTCATTTGAAGAAGTGGGTTGTGCCCACAAAAGCTCATGATACCAGCTACATGTTTTGTTAGTCTATAAAGTGCTACCAGACTATTTGTTGTTTAAGTTTATTCTGGAATAGCTTATTCTGAAATAACTGTGCAAAATTGTGTGTGTGTAGATGAAGCCTATGACTTCATGAAATAAGCTGCTGGCTCCAATCTTGTAATCTCGGCACACAGCTTGCCATAGCTGCTATTGAGCTGTTTATGGGCTCAACAGTCCGCTAATGTTGCAGGATCAAGGTCTATGGTTTTCATACAACAAAACTGCATCTTACTTACCACAACCTAAGTCTATATTTTAACAGGCAGAATTTGAAAAAATTAGTTGCCAAATATTTTACACAATCCCATTTATAAAGCAGGTGGGGAAACAAACTAATAAAGGAAAATGGCAGTGGGATTAACATGTTTCAGTTTAAATTTGGTATTCAGTCACTGCTGTAAACAGTCTGGGATATAAGCTCACCTGTGTATTCTGGGAAATAGCTGATGAGATGGGAGTGCATGATTTTTTCTTCTAGAAGATCTTTTTTGTTTAAGAAAAGAATGACTGAAGAGTTCCGAAACCATTGGTATCTGATGATTGAGCGAAATAAGGCATTGCTTTCTTTCATTCGATTCTACAAGAAAACAAATCAATTTGAAATTAAATTGTTTTTAAAGCATTACCATATGCATAATTAGGACACGCACAAAGAATAAAATCACTCACATCTCAACCACTAATCTAAAATGGAATTCTCCTTAAAACCAGTGTGTTTCCAAGTTTTCTTACCAGACTCTCTCTGCCTAACAGATTTATACCAAAAGTATTAACTTACCCTATTCAATATTTATATCCACCCATTCAGAGGGCTTTGGATCGGGCCTGCCTGAAGCTAAGTGAACGGGCAGTGTGGTGATGCACAAAATTCAATGGAAGGTAATAATACACAAGTCATTTGAATACTTACATATATTACTGGACATCTTTGTGGCCAGCCCAATGAAAGCCTCTGCTAAAATGTGCAATGGCCATCAGGAGAAAAAGGGAATGTTAACCCATCCATTACAACGTCTCACAAGCACTGACAGTATTATAATTAGAGCTAGTTGAACTTAAGATTTCTGATTAGTAGGCAATTTTCATTAGCTTGAGATTGCCCACAAACTGAAAATATTAATGAAATTTCATTTCAGAAACTGTGATAGTGGTTCTGAAACAAAATATTCTCTATGGAGACCATGGCAGCTACATGAATGGTAAGCTTTTCTGTTCACAGTTGCCAGACCAGCTCCACCATGCAGTCTTCCCCAGGCTGGGGATGACGAACTTCCTGGTTCTCAAGCCAGCTCACTTTCAGGACTGCCCACTCAAGCATCTGGAGGTCATAGGGGTCCCACCCTGGCCCAATCCACATAGTGCAGCTTCCCTGCAGATGAGGCTTCTGAAGCAGGGATCAAGAAAACCCTAGGAGCCCCCTGAATTTCTTGGCTCCATGGGAAGAAGTTTGGTGTTCCCAGCAGCCTGCGAAGAAGGCTAGCAGAGAACCAGGGTAGACAGGGAGGTTTCCATCAGAACTTTACTTGTAATTTGACCAAAATACAAAACTGAACAATTCCAGAAATGGAAATAGCCTTACTTAGGATATGGTATTTAGTCTTGACCATATCCTGATTATGTAGTCTCAAAAAAAATGTAACTGAAAAATAAGAGGTATGATTTAAGAATATAAAATAATGAATGGTATACTAGAGAGAAATCAGACTCTTAGCTTCACTGAACTATGAAGATAAAAAGTCAAAAAATCTAAATGAGGATGGTAAGTAGTTTTTCACAACACATTTAATCTGTAGAACACATTGCTGCAAGATATTGATGCCTAAAGGCTAATAAGAGTCAGACAAGGATTAGAAAACATTTAGAGAACATCTAAATGTTGGATAATTATTTTAAAAATATTTCAGGAGGTAATGGATAGAAAGGGACTCAAACTATTTTGAAATGAGAGATGAGTATTTATGGTGGTTACATTAACAACAATAATCTTAACTGCTTCTTTTCCTTGCCTTCTCATCTCCTTTTGGTGGGAGACTGTTGCCCTACTCTCACAGCTGGCAAATGAGAGTACAGAAGGGATTAGATCTCCAGCCCATAATTAGCAGGTAGCATATGCACAACTTCCTGTTGTACAGTGGTGAGCTGTGGCTCACAGTTGAAGATAGCTGCAAAACAGTGTTCAGAGGGATTGGTATTTGTACTTGGAGTACTATATTTGTAGACTTTCAATCATTTAGGGTTACTGAATTGCATACTATACTTTCCTGGCTTTTAAATACTTGTCCCTCTTCCCTCCACCCATGCAATAACTACAGTGTTCTGTTAATGAAAATGTTATAACTCAGTCTCACTTTTGTTTTTTAATAATATGTGAAAAGTTTTATAACCGAAACCTGGAAGAACAAGGAAAAACTAAGACTCCTGCAACAGTTAGCAGTTCCTCAGGAGGCCCTTGTGAGTTGTGTGGAAGCTGTAAGGTCCTGAGAGTCCCTGGCTTAAGAGACACACTTTTGTCTGTTTATATTAAAATAAAGCCGCAGGCACTATGACGCTATTGTAAATTTCATATAGCTTGATAGCCAGTTAAAGCTATACTACCAACTTTGTAAGAGAAAACTATTAGTAAATATATGCATTTATAAAGCACTGCAGGTTGAACCTCTCTAGTCTGGCATGATTTTAGTTGGCCAGATGTCCACTTATCATGGGAGTGGCTAAATTTCCTGCGGTCCCAAAAAATGTGTTTACAGCCACCAGTCTTGGCACTCAGTGTTCTGTGCTATTATTTAGCTCTAATTTACCCTTAAATGTCTTGTAAGAGCCCAGTAAGCAGTGGAAATGTTGTTAATGGTGCTAGACAATACTGACCTCCTGTGGTTTGGCAAATTCTCTGATTTGGCACCAGTCAAATCCCCAGGGTGCTGTACTACAAAGATTCAACCTATAGTGTTTTATTTTTCCTACAGAAATGCAAATATCTTTTTTCCATGCCTCATCCAGAAACCCTCATTCCTTACCTCATCACATTCAGCCAGGACCTGGTCGTATTCACTTAATGCAGCTAAGAAAATGATGGAGGTAACATTTTCAAAACAGTGAATCCATTTCCTTCTTTCAGACCTCTGGCCTCCTACATCCACTATTCTGTTAAACAGCAACGAACAACACAATGATTGTTGTGTGTCATTATTTAAATGTAATTAATAAGTACAGAGAAGCTGTCAACCAGTAGAATCACAAGACACTTTGCAGACCATTTGTCAATTATCACTTGAACCACAAAAAATGTAGTTACCTCTAAATTGAAACATGGAAGCTAGCTAATATATTTTCAGTTAATTCACTAGCTGAAGCATAACATATACCACTGTAGGTCAGAATGAATTGAGCAGGCCACGATATATGAAAGCTATCGTGATCTGCTCCAGGTTTCTAAATGCAGTTCTTGAGGAAGGATTGTAAATGTATGCAGGTTTCTTCATATGAAAGTAGTACAGTTAAGTCACTAAATGGAAATGTTTCTCCCACATAAGAGCATATTTAATGCCACCAGAGATGTTCCAGCTCTACCACTCAGAATTGCTCCAGTGCATTTTCCCTCCATACAATGACTTAAAAAAAAATCAAGAAAATTATTATTTAAGCCAATATTTATATTCATAGCAACCTCTGTGCACATTTAACTACCATACATGCACACAGACTCTTCAGCTCCACATCAGATGCTTAGTTCTGACCCAGAAAATCTGATAATGCATACTTCCAGTTTCTCATATTCACATGCAACTTTTTAATTCTCTCCAACTTCAGCTATATTATAATATTTCCCTAGAGCCAGGCAATGTTAAAGACTATGAAATGGTGTGTCTACATGAAAAACTAAGATATTAGAGGTGAGGGTTCTACATTAGAGTGTAATTTTGAATGCCCTCTATGAAGTGTAGGTGGCTCTGTATTGAAAATAAGGAGCTTTTTGAAAAGCAGCAGAACTAGTGAAAGTTTGGATATGATGATGCTTTGGTGCACTGATGCGGATGTGCATGTTATAAAGCAGGAGTGGGCAATAATTTTTGATGGAGGAGGTCATGCCAAGAATTTGGTAAATGGTCAAGGTCTGCACTTGAAGGTGCAGGGTCTGGGATGGAGGTTGGGAGAAGGGAGCTTGGGATAAAGGACTGGGGTGCGGAATCTAGGAGGAAGGTTGGGTGCAGGAGAAGGTTATGACCTGGGGCAGGAGATTGAAATGCAGGGTCTAGAAGGGGTATGGGTACAAAGGATTTGGTTTATGTGGGGTATGAGTGCAGAAGGGGTTGAGGGTGCCAGAGGCAGGCTCTGGCCAGGAGTCACTTACCTACGTGCCTCCCCAGACAGTAGCCCACCAGGTTCCTCAGCTAGGCTCCCTCACCCCATGTGCTTTGAAAGTTGCAGGGGGAGAGGGATACTTAGCACGCTTCCTGTCCTGCAAATAGGCAGCTCCCATTGGCTGGAAACTGCACAATGAGAGCTGCAAGATTATTCTGGAGCAGGGGCAGCACGTGAAGTGTTTCACCAGTTCCCCTTGGGACCCTGCAGGAGTCTAGGTTGGGAATGTTTGAGGGGCTCAGCAGGGGATTTGGGAGTATGATGGACACAAGGCACAAGATTGGGATGTATGGGGGTGCAGGAGTGTTACGGCAAGGGACTGGGAATGTGGGGGTGCAGGAGTTTAGAAATGTGGAGGTACGATGGGCTCAGGGTTGGTGTGGGGGATGCAGGAGCTGCACCCCCCCAACAACCCTAAGCCCCTCATGCCCCCATATCTCCAGCCTCCTGCTCAAGAGATACTTATTAAACCTTGAGACTAAATTCAATCCCTGAAGTGTAAGAAACTGATACTAATCCTGTTTTGAGTATTATGCTCAATGTGATCTTACGGGTAGAGTCTCAGCAAACAGCTTCATAAGTCATCTATCTTTTAATGTATTTAATGCATTGCCAGAGTACAATCAATCTTACCTAAAGATAACGTTTTCTAAATCAAAGGGATACTCAACAATTCCAGTGGTAGGCACTCTTACTCTGAGAACATCTTGCTGAGTTGGCACAAATGAGGGCATGGCAATACGATCAATGTCAGTAAGGTAACTGCAAAATAAGATACACACAGCTATATTACTAACTAAATGTTTTGATGTATATTAATCCAAATATTAGTCAAAATATTTAAAGCAAATATTGAGCAGTAAGCATAATATACAGTATTCACAAAGCCAGTGGAAGAAATACGTACTTTACATAAGATTCAAATTGTGTAAGTACCTGCAAGGATATGCCTTGAATTTACAGATACCCACTTATTTAAAGTCATTTCTCAGGCATTCCCAACTTCCTCAAATAGTTGATGGATATAACAAATCAAAGTTAGATTTCTACCCCTGGTTAACAAAGTGTATGTACCATAACCCACCACAGTAACATAAAAGGATGCAAAATAATTATAAAACTTTTAAGATAAAGAATTTACAACTGAAACTTGCATGAGTGTTATAACTTTGCCCATCATCCAATGCCTCATATCCATTTATTAGATTCCTTGCAATGGGACTGACAATACTGTGTATTGTCTGAATATGTAATAATCATTCAAACATATGCCCAAAATATATTATGAAGAAATGAGCAACTTTACTTGTTTAAACAAAGCATCATCTATAATAACCAACGTGTCACCCACATTCTCTTCTGGAGAAAAAAAACAGGTGGCTCTTGTACATTTCAAAGGGAGAGGTGCAGTTGTGCCTCTGCCTCCCCTGCCCCATGTGGAGATGGTGCTGGGGGGAACCAGCTTTTAAGCCGGTCCCCCCACCTCCCCCACTTGCTGCCTCTCTATGATAAAGGCAGCAAGGAGCAGGGTGCAGCAACTAGTCGAGTGACTACTTGACTACCCACTGAGCATATGCTTATCGGGAAGTTGACTAGTTGCTTACATCCCTAATTTACACAACCTTGTATAAAAATATAATATAGTTAAAGTTATCTCTACACTGCAATTCGACATTTGCAACTGACTTGGGTTTGCAAGGCTCTGACTGTGGAACTGCACTATGAACGTTCCAGTTAAGGCTGCAGCCCAAGTTCTAAGACCCTCCCACACTGCAGGGTTGTAGAGCCCCAGGTTCCAACCCAACCTGGAACATCTATATCACAATTAAACAGCCCCGCAGTGTGAACCCCAGTCAGATAGCATGGGCCAACAGAGGGTTTCTAACTGCAGTGTAGATGTACTCTAAGACAGCAGCAGTGAATAAGTGGACTGCCAAATACTTTAATGGACCCTGATATATTTTTGTTTACTTACTTTCTCTGGAATATGTATCTTGATAAAAAATAAACTACCCCTGCCCTTAGGATTTTGTGTGTTTTCTAGGAGATGCCTACTGGTGTTTGATAGGAATTTACTTACTTCTCTTGATATTAGTGAAGTACCTAACTTTCTGTGCTTTGTTAAAGAAAAACAGGTGTCTAATCAAATGGACTGATTAGTCACAATTATATTTCTAAAGAAATCAGTAAGTGTTTACTGCCTTTCATGCAGTTAGTCTAGAAATCTAATTTTACCTCTAATTTCACAAGATTTAGTCTTTATATAATGTTCTTATGCTTAGATAAAGTAGTATGACATAAGGAAGTAAGACCATTCAAAAGAGCACTCCAGATACACAGCATTAATATCTGCAGCTTCTCTTTTCATCATTACACCACAATAGCAGATTGGCTAGAACCCAGTTCCAAACTACCAAAAAAAAAAAAAATTATGCTCCTCCACTGAAAAGTCACCGCATGCTTACAAAAGAAGACTCTTATCTGCACTAGACAATTCACATGAAACCTACACCTCCTTCTGTCATACCCTCTGTCCTAAACAACTCAACTAAAAATGGGCACCAAAATCCATACGGTTTTATGTTCATAAACAGAAACTCTTTAGTCTTCTAGAATAGATGTTTAGCACAGATTATGAATGTAACAACCACTTTCTCCTCCTTCAAGAAGCTATAACAAGTCACCAGATCACATCCGTGATCTCAAAACTATAATATAGACCACATTAGCCAAAGGAAGATTTACTTCACAGTGACGCTAGAGAACTTGCAAACACAGCTAATCTGTACATCAGACTTCATTCCCTAATTTATGTTATTTTAAAACTACTGTCACATAACTGTGAAATGCGCTGGCCATCCTGCTTGATGGGGATGTATTTTGTACAGCTGTTTTCAAGCTTTCTCCAAAGGGAAATTTAATCATGTACCAGCTATGCTGACCTCAGCATTAGGAGGGAGAATAACTGAATAATAATTTCAGGGAGCACAGAAAGAGAGGAAGACACTTGGAAACAAACATTTTATGCAGATTTTTTAAAATGTTAGCAGTAATCTCAGACTAATGTAAAAAGTGGGTACCGTTTTCTGGCTAATGGATATACAATGGAGTAGATAACATAAGCAGGGGAGTCCATCACTTTATGTTGCTATGGAAGATGCCAGGGTCAATATTGTGCTGGCACCGTATACCTACTATTTGGCAGAGTCCGAGAGCTGGTATTCTCTCCGTCTATCATAACATTCTTGGATTCCTGGGTCTGCCCAGAGCTGCTTGATTGCTTCCGCTTGTTTTCTTTCCAGTGATGTTACTTTGTCCACCTCTACTTCTCTGATCATCAGAGCATTTTCCTAATTAAATGGAAAAAAAAAACCTGTATGACTAAAGAGTGTGTCCTACAATGTAATTGGCATTAATGGTATGTCAAAAGCAAAACTTCAACAAGGAGCATGGTGGAAGGCAAACAGCAAAAAGATAAAATCATCTGAAAAAATAAACAGCTGTAAGGAATGCATCAGTAGAGAGTGCTTTGTCCACACCAACCAAAGAAATAAGTCACTTGAACATGGCCATTATCTGTAATTTAGCACTATTGTATCTTCGCTTCATGGAAGATTTTTGTGGTAAAGGAAAGTACTGTACATCAAAACGGCTGAAGCCAACATAAAAGATTGAAAATCTCAAACCTCATAACCTATATCCCTATAAACTTAATCCTAAATACTACATGTACTAACTTAGAAATTATTATGGGTGTTTTAATTTCAGTACAAACAAAGCTTTTCAAATGGAAATGATATATTCTTAAGTGTTTGGATGGAGCATGTTTCACTGAGATGGAGAGAAGAGATGACCAAAGACATACTCGCCTACTGCTGCCATTTTGCAGAGCATGATAAAGGAATATACTTGAATTATAAAAAAGAAAAATGTTTAGTGTTTGCCAAGTATTGTTATTTGTGGCTCCTCCTGAAATAGAACTGGCTTGCTGAGTGTGAATTGGCAATAGAAGAACTAGGAATACTTGGTTTGCTAAGATTTCTACCAATACACTATTAGCTAGATTTATACTGTTCATTATGATCTGTAATGTGGTAGTTGTTTTTTCTCTCCTAGGTATACTGTTTTAATGGGTTCAAAACCAAAATTGGGTAATTCTGTTTGAGGGACCAATGGAACATTTCAAGTATTTGAGGCACTAAATGCTTCTGACAGGATGTACAAAAATGGCTATAAAAGCCAAGTTTGCATTGTTTTTATGGTACTTTTTTATATGATATACATCTTTACAGAGCTTTAAAATGTAGTCTCTTAAGCAAACAGATTTTATTAATATCATGAGTATAACGGTCAGTGAACTAATGGGATGGTGCATTTTTGAAAGCATATGATGGGTATTATTTCCAAATGCAACAAGGTTATTGCTTATGCTTATTATTGAATTACAGCTAAATGTATTTAGTTTGACCTTTTATTTCAGGGGAAGTACCAATTATGAGATTTTAGCTTCTATTCCAAAATCAACTGCTCTGCTAAAATGGCCCTGGCGTAAGTATAATAACCACTTCTGTACCATAAATGCCTCCCACAGAACATAAGGGAAAGTTGTCCCACTGACATTTTTTCCAAAATGTTGTGCATGCTCATTAATACCCTGGAGAAAAGTCTCTTTTTAAACATAGGCAACAGAAATCTTTCTTGTCTCTCTCATACCACACTTCTAGCTAAGCGTGCATTGCTGCTGTCACTGTTTCAGGGTAATTGTACTTGTATTCCCTCTCACCCATGGTCCCTTGGGGCACCCATTAAAATTCAACTTTAAATTTCAACTTTAATCATTACC